AAAAAAAACAGTTTTAAAAAGGTCATTTTAATACCATATTCCTTTTTGATATTACATTTCATCATCTGTATTTGGGGTATTTGTATGGTATTAATGGTATTATTGAAATATTTTGCCGTTATCTGTACACAGCATTGAAAAACATCGCCTGTGAATGTATGACGGTTGACAAAGGTTAAGGCTTTGCAAAAAAAGGGCAAACTGCAATTACTTTGGCTTTGCACCAGTGGCCTGTATCACAGCCATTAGATACAGCTTCGTGGCTTTGCCTCGTAATATTCGAGAAACTCGCGCAATGACATTTCACTGCATGGAATCCAGTAAAGCACCTTGTTCAAGGGTAATACAGACACGTCTAATTTGTGATCGGGACTCGCCGCCTGGTTTTGAGTCCCCTTACCGGTGTCACCTTAACGAGGCGTAAGGCAGGAGGTTCACGAAGTGGCGCCTCATCAGGATAAATAAATGCAGACTTGCGTGTGGCAATGAAACGCCATCATTCGTACGCGGCGACCATGTTATTAGCTCGTACTCCAGGTTTATGGAAGTGCAAACACCAGGGTCTGACCTGCTGTGCGAAAGCTCTGGAAAAGAAAGAAGCAGACAGAACTTAATAAAAGGTGCTGTTGCACGTTTATCATCATGCTTAAGTGCACCATCCAGCAGGTTGCATCATCCAGGAGCCGCAAACGATGCGCCCCAAATTGGCTCACGCCCACATCTCGGCCAGTTGCCGCAGCGGGTGCGGCAGTGGAAGGTACCATGTTCTCTTCAGGCTGGTGTAGAGGGGTGTGGGGATTGTGGGGGGCTGGGGGAGGGGGGGGCGGGTAAGGGCAGTGAGAAGAGGGGAAGACACTGGAGGAATAAATATTCAATTGAAAGGGTTCCCTGATAAGAGGAGTTGAAAAATGAAGGCAGGGCCCACTCTCACAGATAAGGAGAGACAGACCGTCTGGCGGGAGGTAGATAGAGAACTCGCGAACCGTCCCAGGGGGGTCGCCGCTCTCATCCGCTGCCCCCAAGGAGCAAGCAGAAACGGGGCCTGTTCACTTTGCGGCATCTTCAAAATAAATTAGTTTTCCATTCAGCGCATGCAGTCTTTGTGGCTCCACTTGATATTACAAGCAAATGTAACAAGAACAGAACAAATTAGTTAATCAAATTCGAGAAATAATTCCACGGATTCCTCTGTGGATTTTATACTTTTGGTTTTTACTTTTGCCGACACAGAAAAAAAGCAACAAGATGAAAGGCGCAACTTGTGAAAGCTAAATTATAACAATACAGTCCTTGTGACACTTGAAATGACAGTAATAATGACGACAAGAGAGACCAATACAGGCTGTATTTTCAGCAATCTAAAGACAATTTCTCAAAAGTGTCTGCAGCACTAACATATGGTAGCTGTCAGTGACTATCGTTAACTGTGAAGCATGATATTGACTGTTAACCATGTATGGAGCTAGAATTAGACCGTGCCTATAGAAGGGCTCTTCATGGCATTTTACAACACAGTACGATAAAACCGACTGCTGAAAAATGGCCACATATTTTACATTCATCAAAAGCATCTGTTCAAAATGGTTGCGGATTATTGAGTTTTCCACGGAAGATGAATGGTTGGCTTTTGCCTGTTTCCATTCACGGTACACCTAGCTGCTGTCATGTCTGTAGGGCACTTCATTGATTTGTTACCTTAGTTACCTGGTTGCGGTCCCCTGAAAAAGAGCCCCGTTGAGATCATATCATTGGCATGTTGACAAATTTACAGCAGCAACTTTGTTCAGCTGGGATATTGTCAAAACAAAAGGGCTGGCAAAACAGGAGGGAATCACCAGCACCTGAAACTCTGCAGACAACAATATCTTGATAGAAACTCTTTGTGGAGGAGAAATCCGATCGATAAAAGCACTATTGACGTTTTTGTTACAAATTGAGTTCCAGAAGATGTGGGTTTGCCTGGTACTAAATGCTTAGTCAAAATCAGTGAGGATTAAGGTCAAAGGTCATTGGGTCAAGGGGCTGTCCTCCAGTCTGTGATGTGAATGTAAGCCCAGTTTATAAGCTAAGGGTGATGGGAAATAATTTTAAGGGGGGGGTTATGGCTTAGTGGGGGTGCTGGAATCTCCCCTTCACCCCATCCCAGATCCCCATCATTTTGAACTTTAAACCAGACACAGACATGGAGTTGACATATGGGTGGGAATTTTAATAATCGCGTATCGAATCAGGGTTACCCTGATTCAGTCTAACAGCAGAAGCTAGGAGAGATGTAGGTTCACCTCCCAGAGTTGAAGGCTGGAGGATGAACATGCAGGGGCAGAGCGGAGCGGCTTCCTGGGGCTGAGAGGCAACTGCTCAGCAAGTTGCTGTGTTACCTGCTGGATCAGGGGTCTCCGACTCCGGTCCTGGAGAGCTACTATCCAGTAGGTTTTCTGTTCCGCTTGGCTTCTGATGAGCCACACCTGCTCCTGATATTTACCTGAGAACAGGTGTGGCTCATCAAAAGCCGGGTAGGATAGAAAACCTACTGGACGGTAGCTCTCCAGGACCGGAGTTGGAGACCCCTGTGCTGGATAAAAGCACCTGGAGGTTAGTGACAGGGGCCCAGCAGGATCTGCTGTTTCATAGCTGAACTCATGCTAAAGATGCAGAAAGCTCGAATGGGGGGCTGACATGCTAGTCAGACAGAGTCTCAATGGTAAGTTGAGGTGCAAACCATCCATCCATCCATCCATCCATCCATCCATCCATCCATCCATCCTTCCATCCAGCCATCCATCCATCCATCCATCCATCCATCTATCCGCATATTCTGGAGCCTAGAGCCTTTTCCAGGAAGCACAGAGAACAACGCAAGAGATGCTTTGGAGGGGGTCCTAGTTCATTGTAGGGGAAACACACACAAACACACACACACACACACACACACACACACACACAAAAGTCTGTAATTATATCCTTGTGGGGACTCTCCATTCATTTCTGTGGGAAAGCCCTAATCCCAACATGATGACCTTAACCCCTACCCAGCCTTAACCCTGCCCTTAAGTAACCAAACAAAATGCAAGACTATACGCTTTTTGTTTTTTGTTTGCATTCACAGATTTTAATAAAACTGAGGTTATCCTTCAGGGACCAGAAAATTTGGTCCCCACAAAGTGGTAAATACAAACCCATAGAGAAGTGGTGGAATTTATGCCCCCAGTCCTGCAAGTCTGAAGATGCAGTGCGACCCACTTTGCCATCATGCAAAAAGGCAACCGAACATGGTAACTGACATACATACTTTGCTAAGCCAAGCATTTCATTACTGTGTTAAGGCTTTTCCTGTGCGTGGTCCTGCACTACCTTATTTTAAAGTGTGATTTGTCTTTTATTAAAGTGAAATTGCACTGCTTCATGATTCAGAAGCTAAACCTCTTCTCATTTGGACACGCCTCATGATAGAAAGGGCTTGAAATTTCAAAATCCTTTAACCGTGTTGAAACGGATTCTCTCTGAACTGAATATAAGGGTGATGGTATCAGCCAGCTTAAGAAGATCACTGATCGGGGTTTGACATATGTCATTAACATGAGACTTTTGGTAAGCAGGGGAAATACTCCAAGAATTATCAATACCTATTTTTATAGAATGAGTTTATGCTTGAAACACCGAAGCCAACAGGACATCCTTGCAAAAACGTAAAAACAGCAAACAATAAGCAAAGTGCTGTTATTATGTTTCCGTAGCCTGATGTTAATAGCTCTCTTTATACATCATGCTGGTGTCAAATCAATGTCTCAGCTCATTCTGGAATATTCTTTGTCTTGTGCTATTTTGTACTATATTGTCATTTTTGTTCCTTCACCACTCACCAAGCTGACGCCTCTAAAATATAGAAAAAAAAAACAAATTTCTAAAGGGGTAATTAAGTAAGAAAATCCTTTATTCCTTCGCTCTCCTCAGCTGAATGGTTTTTCACATCCCCGTTTCTGTCCCTGTCCGGTTCGTGCTTTGCTAAGGAGGTGACACAGAGTATGTTTCAAATACACAAGCATGGATTTTTGAAATTTAGCCAGTAAAAGTACAAAAAATGCTGTTTTGACCCAGTTTAATGGAAAAATTTGGGGCGGGGGGGGGGGGGGGCTAACACTTTTTGCTGTAGCCATAGATCATGAAGGAACCTCACTTTTTACATACTAATGGCTTCTTTCTGTGCATGGATTCTGCTGGATAAAACTCAGTAGAATTGTATAGACAACCGTGAAGTTAGAAAAAAGGAATCAATACTGAGTAGGAGCCTTCTCTGTTTGCTTCCATTGCACTGTATCATTACCATTCAGTTGAAAAGGCTATTTCTTTTAACTTAAATAAGGTTTAGCTTTGGGGTAATGTCTTTGTCACTGTGATTTATCTGTTCTTTCACTCAAATAGAGTATTGAGTTATCCATAATTACCCCTCTTACATTTTAGGGCTGGACCCGAATGCATAATGGCTGATAAGCGAAGCGGGTCGATACAGGTTTTATCAGGCGATATTGGGCCAGGCTACCTTCCGCGGCACACGCAGTAAACAGAACGGCAGCAGCTTGCCCCGGGTTCACCTCAGAGGATGCGCTCTACACCACTGTCGAAATCGCCTGTCTGTCGTACTGTGGACAGTGACAGTCGTCACCCCCCTGCCGACAGAAGAGTAATTATACTCCCTGTAGCCACCCATACCTGGCTGACTAGGATTTGTTCTTTTTTCTTTAGACGAGTACTTTATTAATTACTCTGAGTAGGAAGTTGTGTTAATCAACAAACCGATCAGAAGGTCCAATTCATTTAAATGGGGTAATTAGTTTAAAATCATCAGGGAAAAGTAACTAAAATCCACCAAAGAATGGCAAAGAGATGCCGTAAAATTGGTGATTAAGCATCCCGTTAAAAATACATCTATAAAATATTAACTAGTAGAGGTTTTATTTATAACAATGCATAGTTATGTAAATACTCAGTGAAAAGCCAGAGATGTGATTTCATAGGTTAATTTTCAGCAAAATTTCAGATGGTTAATTTACTGTGTGAAGCCTCAGCCTCGTGCAGAAGAATAAAATCAATTTCACCATGGTGCAGTTTGTTGGACATGTTTAAGCGCTCAGTTGTGGTGTACGGGGACTGTGTTGGGGGTCATAAGCTAAGTGCCCCCCCACATCCATCAATAGGTCATTGAGTGGTGGGGTTTGGGTTACAGTATAGATTAACAGTAGATTATCCCCACATGCACATGGACTGGTACATAGAACAAGCACCAGCAATTATCTGGGAATGAAAGAACGGTTAAGCTATCGAATAACAGCACATATGTATGAACAGAGTGTCATAGAATAGAAATAGAATAGAAAACTGCTTTGTTCCCTTTTTATAAAGGTAGCTAATCTAGGAGCTTCTCCCCGGCTTTATGTGTTTTGGAACCTATGAAGATAAATAAATCTTAACAAATCATGCTGAAATTTACCTAGGGCCACCCGTACCGTGAGCTCATCTGTTCCAGACGACACACTGAGCTTCCCACAGAGCAGGTCACCTTCCCGGCGGATCAGCGTCTCACAAAATCCCCGCTGGCCTCACACGTTAACACCCGGATTTATGTTTTTTTCGCCATTCACACAGCACTGTTTTTGACTGCCATCTGTTAAAGACTTATCATTGACCCGTCTGCCTTCTGTAACGCATGACATTACCGGTTTACCGCTCTGGTTTATGATGAAAAATACCCCCTTTTTTCCTCAGGATTAGCATGATGAAATTCATAAAATCCCAGTCAAAAGTGAATAGATTCGATTGCCTCGACAAATGTTTATTTAATCGGCAGAAAAATATGCACTTCCTTCACCAAATCATGAATTTTAATGCATAGGAATGTAATGGAAATTCACAATGAATTGTACAAATTGTCTAGACTGAGTAGATACTTGCTTGGAAATTGAAATAAATACACTCAGTATGTGTTTAAGGAGTGTTCTGGGGTCACGTTGCCTGAAACACATTTTTGACAAAAGGAACAGATTAATAGTTCTGTTACCATGCCGACACCAGCCGAACCCTACAGAAAGCGCAGTGGTGTCCTGTGGTTCAGCAGCATGTGCTACAGGACTTGTCTGTCTATAGTTAGTGTTTCTGTTCGTTCCCGTACGTGCTGAGTGGCAGGCAGACCGCAGTTTGCCATAGGTGACGCTCAAGCCTGGTTCTGCTCCGTCTTCTGGGGGTCAGCAGGTCAGGAGGTCGACTCCAGTGATCTCACACCGGGGCATGGCCTCTTTGTGCTGAGGAGTGAGTCGGGACTTGGGGGTCTCTTTTGTGCCTCCTGAGAGGGTTTCTCCATCTCCATCTCCTCCTCCCTGCGACAGCCAGGCACCCACAGGGGGCTGTGGTCCTCAGGGGGCTGGTATCCCGGTTCCAAGGGGTCCAGTGGGTCCTTGGACAGGAGTATGCTGATGGAGGGGACGTCGCGCTGGACGGTGGTCTGGCCGTCACCGCTCTCCCAAACTTCCCGCACGGCACGGTAGCGCAGCTTGGTCAGCTGGTGCAGGCCGGTCAGCCGGCGCTTCATGATCTCGGCGCAGGTGATGGTCTTGGTGACGGCGCGGCCAGAACCGGTGAACACCACCTGCCGTGGGCCCCCGCCTGGCCCCCCCTCCTGCATGCGGGCCACAGCAAAGCCCATCAGGTTCCGGATCTTGCTGCCCTCCTTGACGCGCATCTCCAGAGCCCCATCCAAACCCTGGAAGGGGCTGGGACTGGGGTCCTCAGTTCGGCACACCTTTCGGAAACCTGCTAATGCTGGCTTGACAGGGGTGGCCGGGGGCACGGTGGTGGCGAGGGGGGGTGGGGATGCGTGTGCACTGGTATGGCTGTGAACTCCGGAGTTTGGACTCTGGAAGGCATGAAGAATGTCCGGAGACATGCTGAGCTCCATCCTGGATGAATGAAATGTGTTGTGATGGGAGCCTCTTCTTTGAGTTATGTTGAAGTGATCTGTGAGCTTCTCACCTGGCTCCAGGCGCCTGGCTCCTCTGATCCAGTCACTCTCCCAAGTTCTCCACGCTATCTCAGATGAAAGTCAGCTCACAGATGAATCAGTGCCTTTCTGAGAATTCATTCCTATCTACACAGATCTGTCGTTATCTTACTTGTATTTTATTTCCTTTTTGTTGTGAGTAAACGAGAGATCACAACGGTCCCAGAGATGTTCAGGCACCACAAAGGGCTTCCGAGACAAGCGTTTGGGGATGAGAGCAGAAAGAGGAGTGTTTAGATTTGAAGTCAAAAGGAAGAAAGCTTTCTGCCTCAGACTTGAGCAGACCTCATGTGTGCAACGTCGACACTTTCTCTACAGAGCCGTGCTTGCGGGGCAACTCAATCTCACGCTCAAAGGAGCAGCGGAGAAAAAAAATGAAAGGAGGCAGTGGAAAAATTTCTGCCGAACAATTTGCTCCTCGTCAGAAGCCTGAACCCTCCTGATGAATATCAAACTGACTGTTACTGTCTTTCTGAAACAATGTTGCTGTTTCCCATCCTTATTATGAACTTTGAATCTGTCCTCACCAACTTTTGAAAGTAATTGTTTCTGTGTAGCTCACCTCAGGACGGCACGGCGACTCCATCCTGCAAACCGCTCCACCGTGTGATGGAGCCCCATAGATTCCCAGCATAGACTCCCTGGGGAGATTAGTTACCCTCTCCAGGGATGCTCAGCAGTAAGCAGGAGGTGTTTCCCAGGAGATGGAAGCTCTGTGCTCAAAGCCCGGCTCCTTCTGGCCAGCCTCTTGTCATGCCTGGGACATGTGCCTTACTTCCACACACAGCAGTGCGAGAGACTGTAGCTGTCTGCCGTGTTTATAAGGGGGAGTTTCACTGTGGCTGAGGGAGAGAGAAAGAGTGTGGATTGGATAAAGGTTGGAGGAGGCGGGGCTGCGCATGGCAGACCTTTTAAAGTTACAGTGCAATGCTGCAATGAACGCCGCGTCTTAACAGTGTGATGTACGCGTTGAATAAAAAATGCTCCCTGTTGCTTTAAGAAAAAGCACTCCGATGACACGCAACTTTGTCAATCTCTTTAGAGGACATTTCGGGGCATGTGTTCAATGTACATGACTGATTAATCCTGAGTTCTCAAACAAAGGAGCAGTGAGGCTTAAAAATGCATTTTCGGCCGTGTTACAGTTGATTAAATTAGCAGCGCTATAATTGAAAACATCCTTCAAAGAATTGTTCAATGTCAGGGGCATGTACACTGTGCTTAGCTCTTAACCTATTGGATGCTTCAGACTATTAAAATTTATAACGAGTGCCGTTAAAGTCTTCATTCGAGAAATTAAGATCTCCCCGGAAAATGCATATACTCCTTGACGAATTGTTCTTTGGAGACAGCTGACATAAGTAAAATTTAGGAGTTTCGTTCTAGAGCTTCCATCAATTTTCTAAGCGCTTGTGCAGTACTGGGCTGAGGGCCTCCACACCTTTATCCCATCTGGCCAATGAGAATCAGGAACACTGGATCAGTTTCTACGCGACGTAAGGACTTGGTTCTTCAGATCCTTGCTTTCTAACAACATGATTGTAGCCCCATCACTGATATTTCTCAGACTTTTTCGTGCCACAAAGCCAGTGCTTATAATTACGCTGCATTAGTCAGTGTGACGACTGCTGCTGACGGTGGTTTGACAAATGCTGATGTTGCCCCATTGGTGATTGTTGCAGCTAATGAATTCCTGACATATTAATTGCTTCTCATGTGCGTTGTTCTGAATAACCCCATGACCCTGAACCGGATTAGAGGTTGGAAGATGGAAGGATGGATGATCTGAATATGAACAAAAGGGAGCAGAAGCTGAATGACGACCCAATTGCACAGCAGCATCTTCTAGTTCATGGGTTTCATGATATGAACGAAACCAGGAGTTTCACAGGAGCCGAATGGATGAATTGCTGGACACACACACACACACACACACACACACAGGTTTGTAAGTATACCTTTGTGGGGAGTCTCTAGTCATTTCTATGGGGAAAACTCAAATTCCAACATGACGACCTTAACTCCTACCCAGCACTAACCATACCCATAAGCAATCAAACAAAATTCAAGTCTTTCGGCATTTTTAGTTTTTTGATTGCATTTACTGATCTTTGTGGGGACCTGAAAAATGGTCCCCACAACATGAAAATAACAGGTTTTATCACATTGTGGGAACATTTGATCCCCACAATTTAATATAAACCTGGACCACACAGATGCGCACACTCGCAGGAAGCTGAAGTGCAGAGACATGGTTTCGAGAACATAGCTAGTTTGAATACTCATCCTGACACGTCAAACCCATTCCACACAAGTGCTTCAGGCTCATTTCCCCATCTGAATACCTTACCAAGAGTCAACGGCTGGCAACTATATTGCTTTCCAAAGAGAAATATGGGCACATTACTGGTGCCAGTACAGAGCCCCAACCTCAGCCCAACACAGCATCTCTAGAATGATCTACAAAGCAAAATTCGGTCTAGTTCAAGAGCCCCATTCTGGTGGTGGAGTTTCCCAAATGCCTGAGTGGAGCACAATACCACCAGCTTCCTGCAAGAAGTTACTGATTGTCTGATTCCTTTTCATAGCTACACATGTTTCATAAGCCTTGCTAGGTAGAGGGTGTTTGTCATGCACAACACACATATTGTATAGGGTGATAGATGGAGGGGGGGGATTAGAAATGAAACAGTTATGCAAAACATTTTGACCAGCTTATACACGTTTTTACAGTTACGACCCTTCTAATCTGTTGGGCCTTAACCACCACACAGCTGCAGCGTAGAGTCCAGATAAGCATGCTGTGCATTGGCTCTTAATTAATTAATTTAACAAATTATTTTGCAAAGCAAAATCACCTGGCGCTAATTGAAACATGTTCCCTAGAACTTTCTGAACCACAGCTCTCCGTATACAGGGCTGGTCAAGCCTCAGACCCAAGGTGTCCTCCCTGCAGTGAAATGCAGTGAAGCCCCGCTGAGGACTCACCATGGTGGGTCTTCTTCCTTTGTTTCCCTCCCGCTCCCGGCGGTAACTGTCACTCAAGGACAGATAGAAGCTACTGGACCAGCAAGTCTCCCGCTGTGCCTGTTCTCTGCTCCATTCCCATCCCATCGCTCTCTTCTGTCTTCCTCTCTCTTGCTCAGTTCATTCCATAGCTTTTTCTCCCTCAGTTTACCTGCCTCCCTCTTTTCCTTCTCAGCACTTCCGTAGAAGACAGGGCGACAAATGTGTCTAATCTCATTCAAGATGCCGTGGGAAATGCCATGAGGAGAAATCTCAAAGTCTGCTCTTTGCTGTTCGGGAGAAATTACCCTCATCAGTCATAAAGAGATGCACTTTTGCCTAAGGGAGATTTGGAGATGGGACTGAAAGAGAGAGAATGATCATGAAAGAAAGTAACGGAACGACGAAGATGCTTCTGACTGAAAGATCACACTCATAAGCAAAGTAAATGGCCCACCAAGATGTGGCGAGCATGTAAAATGTTAGTCTACCCAAGGCTCCTTAAGATCCATCTTCCACAGACATCTGTTTTGGTAACATTTTTCGTAGGCGTTACCCACAATGCCTCACAGCGCCAGGCCGGGCACAAAGCTAACAAACACAGCTACGCACCTAGTGAGACGTCGCAAGACGAATGATTCCTTCAAGGCGACAGTGTTCAATGGGGGCAGAAGTGAATCAATCAAGAAATGGGAAAATGCCGCGAGTTGACAGGAAATAAATACTCAATTTTCTCCACAAGTCTCACAAACAGCTGTTGTCCACTTGGGGAGGCAGTAGGGAGATCGACGCTCAGCAGGGGTGTTACAGGGATGAAGTCACAGGCCAGGACCTTAGATCACCTGGAAGGAGGGTCTTACGAAGTGTCATGCACATTGGGCGCCAGGCCACATTTTTAATCATCAATGTCACAATAGGGTGTTTAGACAGTGTTTCCCAATCCAGTTCCTCTGGGACCCAAAGTCCCAAAGAGATCTTCTTGTAATTGCATACATTTGGTCCCCACAATGTAATAATAACCTGTTATTTTGTCATTGCGGCGACAGTGTGCCTCTCTGGACTGTCTGGCAGGGAGCTGGGAGGGAGCAAAAACATGGACTGACTGTGGGTCCCTGAGGACCGGGGTGGGGAACGCTGATCTTAGCTTAAGATGCTCCCATGGCTCTTCTCTACACCCCCCGGTTCTGTTGACACAATCTACCTCCAAGCAATGAGGTGCCACTTTTTTGGCACTAAAAACCTGGCAAATAGGGCTGGCCAGCAATCTGCCACTATCTTTTACCTACTCCTGCAATATTTGCACTACATTGAAATTGCACTACATGTATTATTCCACAACGTCTACGTATTTATTGTTAAACTTGTAATTGCATTTATTGTCTGGCAGCATGCACAGGTCTTAACTTGTATTTGAAATCTATATTTTCTGTTTAATTTGTGTTTACAGGAAACAAATGCAGAGACTTTCATTGCATAATGAAACTGTTGTGTGTAACACAAATAAATGTGAATCATTAGCCTTTTGCCCATGTTCACAGCTGTAAGCTTGCAGAAGCTGAGCTGGTCCTGAATTTGAGGGCATGACCTCTGTTTCCACTCACTATTTTATCGCAGGTTCAGTTCCTTTTCTTTTTTTTTATCTATGGTCACCAACAGAGAGATAGACTGCAATGTCACAGTCTAGCCCCAGATGAGTGTCGGAGTAGCCTGCCCATAAAACACCCAGCTTCTGGAGATCTTCAGCTCAGATAGGTTCCTCACTTTTCCATTGGGTGTCGAACATCAGATGTGTTTGGTTACGAGGAGGACCGGCCAGACAAGATGGAACATAACAAAAGCTACATGATGGAGTGGTAGCACCGAAGCTTCACAGCTTTATCTTTGGGGGCTCAGTTCCCACCCCTGGCTGGGTGTGTGAGTGTGAGTGTCTGTGTGAGTGTATGTGTGGAGTACGATTGTTCTCCTGCGTTGGTTTCCTCATGACTTTCTTCTCATAGGTTAGTATCAGTAGTTATTGTCACTTCATTGTCCTTAGTGTGTGCTGTCCCTGTGATGGCCTGCCATCTTGTCCAGGGTGTCCCTTTACCTCATGCCCTGTGCTTTCTGAAATCCAGTTTCCCCGAAACGAAGTACTGGGTAAGTGGTTATGGAAGATGGATAGATATAAGGATGATGAAACTGAATAAATTAAAAAGCATTTTACTGTTAGAAGGCATTCGGATTTGATTCTCAAACAGTACTCAGTTGAGCCATTTCTGCAATCCATTTGCAATAAAATGTATTTCGTTTTAAACATTTTGATGCTTTCAGCTTCGGCAGTTTCATGCTTTTCCTTCTAGTGCTGTGGCAGGAGCTGTATCTGGACGGGCATTTATCTCCCCACACGAGCCTCAAGCACAGCTCACTAGAAGCATAAAGATAAGATAAAAAACAAGAATGCATATAAAAAAAAAAAGACTGTTATGGAATAAAATACAGGATTTGCTGTTCAGAATCAGAGGACCTCAGTTCCATTAGTGTAGCCAAACATACCTGGACCATGGCCTTCACGGTGGGACGCAAATGTGTGATGAATGTGGCGAGTTTTGCTGCAGGGACCCACTACAGATAATCAAAGTAATTTAACTTTAAAAATTAAATGCTCGCAAGTGAATAGTATGACAGCAATGATGGCCACTAGCTCAGGGTATCAGATTTTAATCATTTTTAATTTACACATAAAACTCAGTAAAATTAGTAATTGCAAAACCATGGGTATATATTGGTTAC